ANATACATACATACATACATACATACATACATACATACATACATACATACATACATACATACATACATACATACATACATACATACATACATACATACATACATACATACATACATACATACATACATACATACATACATACATACATACATACATACATACATACATACATACATACATACATACATACATACATACATACATACATACATACATACATACATTCATACATTCATACATACATACATACATACATACATACATACATACATTAGTCACTAATTTGTGATTTGCAAAATGGGAGTTAGTGAATTTGCCATTTTTGCTTTTTAATATGCAAATGTCATTTGTTATTTTATTAAAATTTATTTCTGCTATTCTTGTCAATGATTGAAAAATTAAAAATAAAATCTTTTCACCAAATTTCAAAAAATTAACAAAAATCCCTATTAATCTGAAATAAATTTAACGTAAAATCATTCTTCACTAATTTGAATACCTAATTTTGTAGAAAAAGTCGAGTGCTAAAGCAAAAGAGAAGAAGCAGAGACGCAAAGAGGAAATTTTTAGGATGGCAAACTGCAGAATGCTAGTCAATACAGCCAATTCTGTTTGTTCTTTTTTGATTTTTATTGTTTATTTCATTTTTATATATGTTTTTATTCTCTTTTTATTTTTATTATTGTTAGTAATATTCATTTAAACAATTTTCTGTCAAGATGTCTCTGCCTAGTTAAATTGTGTTTTGATATAAATAAGAAGGCAATACACAACTTAATAAAATCTTGTATTTCAGGAGCCAATAAAACATTATTGTGTTGTATTGTGTATGTTTATTTGTACATGTATGTTGGACTGTGTTTGCTTATTTGTTTGTATGTATGTATGTATGTATTTATGTTTGTATGTATGTATGTATGTGTATTTTTGTATGTATGTTTGACTGTTCGTATGTTTGTATATATCTATGTATCTTGTATATATCATACTATTGTATGTTTATATGTGTTTGTATGTATGTACATATGTGTATTTATGTTTGTATATATGCATGTATGTTTGTTTGTTTACTCCTAGCAAGAGGATCCGATGAATTCAATGCCTTTGTTTAAGAAGTTTGAAAGGAATGGCCTGGATGTGGAGATATCCTGTGTAAAGGGTACGACGTTGGATGGGCGAACGCTGGATTGGGCGTTCATGCTCACTAAGAAGAACATGCAGTCTTTGTTAGTTCTGTTTTTTTCATGTTTTTTTGGTTTTCTGTTGTAGGTTTTGTTTCTGTTGTAAGTTTTGTTAGTTTTGACTTTTAAATGTTTTCATTGTCTTTTTTTAATAATAAAATATAAAACAATTTTTCTATTTTTTCCACTAACTCCAGATATGAAAATAGTGAATGGGGATGGAGTGATAGAGAGAAGAGAGAAGAACTAATGGATGAAAGAGCCTGGTTTCTAGTAGTTAGGAAAGTTAAAAGTGAACATGACACAAACATATGCCAAAACAAAGATACCAAAAACGACGAAACCAAAGATACCAAAAACGACGAAATCAAAGATGGAAACAGCGAGACCAAAGACACAAAAAATGAAACCGAAGATATCTCAGAGATGCCTTCCACTACTGCTACTACTACTGAACTGAAAAAGAGTTTGAAAGTTGTCGATGAAATTTCAGAACAAAACGTTGTCATAGATGATGGTGCCAAAGTTAATAAGACATCAATTGATGAAATAAATTCAAATAGTTGTAGTGATGATAATAATAATGATGACGATGATGATGATGATAATGACGATGCAGACGACACAAAGTCAATAAACGAAGAAGAGGATGAGATCTCAACAAAAGATTCTAAATCTGAAGATAACGTAAGTGACGTTTGCAACAATAACGACGATGATGATAATAATGTTCATGATGGTTGTAACAAGAACAACAACAACAACAATAATATCAGTAGTAGTAGTGGTTGTTGTAATCGTGGTAATAATGAAAACGGTGATGATGATGATCTACCATTGGCTTTCGTTCATTTTAGATTTGATATGGACAATGATATCGAGGTCTTGTATTGGTTAGCAGGTTTTTAAAATGATAATATGAGATATATGTTTGTATATACATTTATATATAATTTAGTCATACTTATGATGAGGATAATGATAATAATTGAGCATTTTGGTTTCTTTAACATGAAACTTCATTCATTTTCCATTTTTTTCATACTAATATATGTACATAATTGATAAATGTTCATAATCCAGCTATTATTTGGTTGTAATTTACTTGCATTCTTCTGTTCTAGCCACTTGTTTATAGCTTTCCATAATTGTTTGAGATTTTTTCATTTATTTTTCTATGTTATAGCCACTTATTTAGTTTTTTTTGTAAATATTTATAATCTTTTAAATTCTTTTTCTTATGCTAAAGTTACGAGATTCAGCTAACGAAGCAAGTTAGGCACAGAGGTCTGGGGAAATTTCTCATACAGATACTGGAACTTTTAGCCTTCAAGTTAATATTTATTATTATTATTATCACTACTACTATTATTCTTCTTATTATTATTATTAATTATCATAATTTATTATAATTAAGGGCCCAGATGAAGAAAGTTTTATTGACTACCTTCAAACACAACATGCCAGCTGTTTCATTCTTCAAGAAATTAAAGTTAGGGTTTCTATATTATTATTAATATTATTATTATTATTATTATTGCTGTTGTTAAAAATAACACCAAAAATACTCTATTATACAAAGGTAATATTGTAAAAACTAACACCAAAGATTTTCTCTATCATGGAAGATAGCAATAGTTTTGTTCTAAAAAAAATTACCAAAGATACAATTTAGACGAGACGAACCCCGGCCACCATGAAGACCTCTGCTGCATGCAGGACAACGAAGATGAAGAGGAGGAAGACGACGACTGCTGCAGTTACATCATACTCAGCAAAAATATCGGGCTGCCACGGCTCTTCCAAAGCCACCCTTCGGCCGCCCCGACTACTCCCCACCCACACCACCACCACCATCACCACCACCATCATCAGCAGTTGCAACAGCAGCAGTTGCAGCATAGGATAGCCATGGCCAGTCTGTCGGATTCATGTCAGTGTGGTCACGACCATCACTGATGTTCATTGTTGATCTTTAGCTGTCTATCATTCGTTTAATGATGATTTAGATGATGGTTTAGACGATGATTTAGATGATGAATTTCATCATTACCACCATCATCATCATCAAAGTTGTCACCATTGAAGACAGCGTCGGGTGGCGGTTTTGTTTTTATACTCGAATGACGTCATCATCGTCCTTAGCGACGTCATCAATCTGTTTTCTTTTTTTACCCATGTTGTTTTCAAAAAATTTACGATGATATCATGTGTGTTCAAACGCTGCAATCATCGCTAAAAATTATTGTTATTCTTGTTGTAGTTATTATTAATATATCCATTAATAATATATTTAATATTATTATTATGTTATTATTTTTATTATTATTGTTATAAGCTTTTATTGAGCGCTGGTTGGGTCAGTTTTAAATAAAATCATCAGCATATGTTGCATTTTAAATTTGTTTTAAAACATGTCTTTGTTGGTGTTACACTCACACTCTCTCACACACATCTCTCTTTCTATATATATCTATATATTGTATATATTTATATATATATATATATATATACATACAGGTGATTGTTACTCCCTTTCCTTATCGTATTGTGGTAACTAACGAATACATCATCATCGTTATCACGAGATAATGACGTCATCGTTCGACATTTTTATCGTCATTATTACTTCTACTACTACTACTATTGATGTTACTCTTCTGTTCGAATTTTTTTTTCTATTTTAATTGGATTTAGCGTTTTGACAATGTCGCATGCAGACATATAAACACATATACAAACACACACACATACAAACACACACACGTACGTGTGTAAGTTCGATTTTTTAAACTCTAATACTAACTCAATTACTTCTCTCATCAGCTAATAATAACAATACCTACTAGTAAACTAATCAATAAAGTAAAAAAATAATAGTAGTATCAACGAATGCTGTGGCAAGTGCAGTAGTAATAAGAAAGCTTCGGCGTTAATGATGATTATTAGGAGTAACTAGTGGCTGTAGTAACTGGTAGTAGTAGTGACGGAAACCGCAGCAGCAGCAACAGGTAGAAATAAAGGTAGTTAGTAGTTCAATGGAAATGTAGCGACGTGTGGTAGTAGCGATGAGTAGTAGCGATGAGTAGTAGCAGTAACAGTAGTAGTTGTAGTATATATACTGTAGTAGTAGTGATGGTCTGATGACATTTTATTATTGTTGAATTTTAAATCGTAATAGACAATATGTAATATCTTAAACGTTCTGAAAATTTCGGTTTTGTTTCTCTCTCTCTCTCTTTCTCTCTCAATCAATCAAATTAAAAGAGTCAAATGATGAAGATGGTAATGATAACAATAATGGTGATTACAACTATGATGATATTGAATGGTATCAAATAAAACTGAATGACACTTTCAATGATACCTCAGTCAGTCTGATAACTTAATGGATTGATTAATTGTATCATCATCATCATCGTTTTCAATCTCGCTGTCTACTATCATTCATTCATTCATTTGTTCACATTTCCACTAAAAGTTCATTCACTCATTCGTTTATTCTTTTTATTCCATCAATCAATCAATCAGTCATTCATCGCCACCAATCTTGTCAACCAATCCACATCCTTGAACACCATCGAAGAAGAAGAAATTGTTATGTGGTGCATCTCTCTTCGAGACGACCTTGATGACCTCTTGACCTACGATACCCCCGACGACCGCGCACGTCGCACTAAGCTCACCGTAGTAACATTCCCTAATTGGTTAGTTGATTGATTGATTGGTTAGTTGATTGGCTGATTAGTGGATTGATTGAATGATTGATTGGTGAGATGATTGACCGGTTTTTAAGCGTAAAAAAGATGATATTGCATTGCTAAGGTCCAGCCGTAGGGTACAGAATGATGTATGGTTTAAAATTTTCAAACAGTAATAATACATTTACCATTGTAAAAATAGCATAATGCTAATAAACTACTAAAATAATTATTATTACATTAAATTACTATTGAATTAAACTTATAGCACGATGCAATGGATATGAACGTGACACTAACTCGAAGTAATCTGTAGGCAAGTATCTCTCATCAAGTTTCCAGCCGTCCAGTAACTGCTTCCTAATACTCAGTAACTCCTGTTTGTCGCTGATCTTGGAGGTCAGGCTCGGAGTTCGATCATTCCTCGCAAGGAATTCGGTTATCACTGTATCATCATTATTATTATTATATTATGTTAGTAATGGTAATAATATTAGTTATTATATATATATATATAAATTAAACAGATATTAGTATAAAATACTATATAGTTAATAACATAATTGGTAATTGTACTACTACTACTAATAATAATATAGATAATTTATTACTAAAAATTCTCTTTATTATTATTATTATTATTATTATCATCAGCATCACTATCCAACCTTTGCAGAGGAAGTATCCAGTTGGAGTCTTTTTAAGCCTGGCGGCATTCTTTCCATCCGACCAATCAAAACTGAACACCTTATCCAATGGCAGAAAATCTGCAACCTGGTTGGTTGAAAATTTATCAGTATAAAATATAATAAAAATAATGATATGATGATGCTAATGACGAAAGAATAATGATAATGATGATCTAGCTAGAGGATAAGGCCAAAAGAAATGCCAGTATGAAAACATTTTTTTTTTTCAACGAAACCTTCTTAACAGTTTTTGATTCATTCTCGTCTATTTTCATCCTTTTAGTCTCTGGTTCACCATCTCTGGTCGTCTTGTTCTTTGGTGATGTCTTCTGTGGAATATCCCTGTAGACAATTTTCACAAATTGGCCATTGAGAATGCAAAAACTCATTTCTATCACATTGATATCTCACAATTAGCTGAAAACAATGTCATCTCCATACATACATACATACGTATATATACAAAGACATACAAATATATATAAAAACATACACAAATACGCACATATACATACCTAGATACACACATTGCAAACTGAAAAAATTTAAGTTTTTGCTGATAGGAAAACAATAAAATCTAACACAGCATATTCATGCTTTCCAAGATCAGACAGCATGTACCCATAGAATCCAAACACCCCACCGATGAATAACTTTATCCCGTGTCGAGAACAGATCAGATCTAATTTCTGGGCTACTGACCAATCAGAATCAGTCAGGCAGATGACATCATAGTTTTTAAAAAAATCAGCTGACTTTTCTGATATTGATTCTTCGTTAGCTGATACTCTAACCATTGGATTTAAATTTTGAGCATTTGGGACCGAACTTGCTGCCCTCTGTTCAATGATTTTAAATTAAATAATCAATTTAAAAGTGAATATAAGTTTACAGTTTTTAATGATGACAAAGATACCGAAGAAGCAGCAACTTACATTGTTGCCTAAATGCTCTCTTCTGATGAAAAATTGACTTTTGAAGTCTTTATCTTCGACCTTGCACATGAAAAAATAATGAACAGGTATAGTTAATATGCACATTAAATTTTTTTATAGTGTTTCATTATTAAAGATTTGACAAACAGTGCACAGCATTTTTTGCTTATGCTGAGCTTATAACTGATCATAACACCCTTTGAAAATATTTCAATTTCATTACAAAAAGTGAAAAACGAATTATAATATTATATTTTTATCAATTATTTTGAATTGAATTATTAAAAAAAAATGAAATAATAAAATAAAAATTTAACAATCAGACCTTTTTATCATCAAGAAAAGTTACGAGATCAACTCCAGCCAGAATAATATTTTTTGCGATTTCTGCGCCCAAACCGCCGAGACCAATGACGAGGACCCTGGCCGATCTCAACCTCTTCTGGGCCTCCAATCCCCACAGCCGGATTTGCCGATCGTAAATTTTTGCCTCGTCTTCTGATATTTTTGTTTCCGATACGTTTGGCAGCATTTTAAGAACGAAATAAAATTGTTTACAACAAAACCAACAACTTGCTTTTAAATTCTCGGCAAATTCTTTAGACAAGTAAAAGTGGATTCTGGTGTGTACAAGCTAACATTAATCACGCGGCGCTTAACTCTATGATAATTTCCGTATATATAAACACGGAATTGATAAAAACATACATTCACGCACAAACATATATTCAATACATAAACACACAGTCATACACACACTTGTATAAATCTGAGAAACAAATAACCCAAACAACGGAACACTTTTTGAAGAAATATACAGAAAAAATGCAGATTTAAAACTAGAAAAATAAATTAGTTTATACACCAGTGAAAACAGTATAATAAACGAAATTACCAAACACACACACGCACACACATACATAAGTGAATTAAATTTATACATAGGTAATCAGGAGAAATTATAGAACGATTACAACGTACATGCCTACACACACCTTCACACACACAAACACAAACACACACACACAATATAGATAGAAAGTTACTGAAACACAATTTCAAATATAAATTAACTATTGACAAAACTTTAATCGAGATAGACAACAAAATAATTTTTTAAATAACTAACAACAAACAAAGACAAAAAGCAAGACAGCTAGCAGTAGTTGATATACAAAAAAAAATATTAGACCATACCTCAGACAACACATTTTACTTGATGATTACAACATGAAATAATAAGAACAATAAGAACAACATTATCAAAAACCATTATTATTATTATTATTATTATTATTATTATTACCATTAGTAGGAGTAGTAGTAGTAGTAGCAGTAGTAGTAATAGTAGTAGTAGTAGTAATAAATAAGAAAACAAAATCTGAGAAATTAAAATATAAAACGGTAATGTTATAATAGCGGTAATAATATAGATTAATCAAAAGTTATGTCGAATCCTTTTCTAAATTACTTTTTCATTCATCCAAGTTTTATTTCATTCACTCTTTCTCGTTCATTCGTTCGTTTATTCATTCATTCATTCATCCATTCGTTCGTTCATTCATACATTATTTCCAGCAATCATCCATACATTTGCAATCATTCATTCATTCATTAATTCAGCCACCCAAATTTATTTAATTAACTGCATTGATTTATTCATTCATTAATTCATTGATTCATTCAATAAAATATTATTATTAATATTATTAATAATTATATTATTATTATTATCATGTTTATTTAGTGTCAATCAAACTCTGCATTGTCCGTATCGAACACTATCTCTCCGTTCTCGTCATATCTTGGGATGAATGAAAAATTATAATATTTTCAAAACTATGGCGATAATTAATTATGGTAATTATTATAATAATTATTATGATAATTATTATTACGTAATAATTAAACGAGATGAATCAACGTTACAATAATTTTAAAATAAGTATATAACACTTACGTAAGACCGTCTAGTAAAAATTCATCAAGGTTATCGATTAACTGCTGCTGTGTTAAAAGCTCTTGTAGTTGTTGTGTTGGCAGCTGTTGTTGCTGCTGTGTTAGCAGCTGGTGTTGTTGTAGCAGCAATTGCTGTTGTCGTATCATTTGTTGTTGGTTGTAATGTTGTTGTTGCTGTTGCTGTGATGAGCGCTGTTGCTGTTGTTTGAGATGGGAGGCCGGTTGGATCTGGAAGCATGTTACAATGCAACGCGGTTCAATACAATGAAATGCAATACGATACGATACAATGCAATTAAACACAACACAATACCGGTATAATACAAATCGATACAAAACAACATGTCAGCCAACCAACCGACAAACCAAACAACCAACCAGCCAATCAACAATCCAAACCAATCAACAAACCAGCCAACCAATCAGCAAACCAAACCAATCAACGTACCAGCCAACCAATCAGCAAACCAGACCAATCAACATATCAGCCAGCCAATCAACAAACCAGCCAACCAATCAAAAAACCAATCAACAAACCAGCCAACCAATTAACAAACCAACCAACCAACCGTAGCAACGGGCCTGATTACACCACAGCTAGTAGTAGCGGCATTGTCACTACAAACAGCCCCGCTATAAGACGTATCATCAAGAACGATGTCACTCAATCCACCGAAACTAGAAACAATGTTAGCTAAGTCATCAGCTAAAGTTGATCCGGAGTTGCTTAAATCGTTTAATGGTAGCTGGAAGTCGCCGGGCAGCGTTTCTATGGCGTTATTGCAGCTGCTGGGAGAAAAGTCGAAATTGGTGGCTGGTGATTCAGCTGAAAGATAGCTCTGAACTGAGTTCGGTGCCGTGTCGTTCATGTGGCTGCTGCTGTGACTCTCTTGGTGGCGACGTCTGTTTGCATCGCTGGTTGATTGGTTGGTTTGTGGGTTGAATGAATGATTAGTTTGTTGTTTGATTGATTGAATGGTTGGTTGTTTGTATGATTGTTTTTTGGATTGTTTGGTTGATAAATTGAAGGCTGGTCGGTAGTTATTAAATTTGTATACGAACTCTGATAGGAATATTTCAATGGTGAACTTTCCTCTTCTATATCCCCCACTAGCAAAATCTACATTCAATCAATCATCGTTTATTCATTCATTGACTCACATATTTATTCGTTCATTTAATCAATCGATCAATCATCACTCATTTACTTATTTTATCAGTCAGTCATTCAATCAATCAGTCAGTCATTTATTAATTCATTAAATCAATCATTTGTTTATTCGCTCATTCATTTATTCATTCATTTAATCATTCAAACAACAAACCAATCAGTCAGTCAACCAACCAACCAACCAACCAACCAACCAACCATGACTTTTCAGCTCTTCACCGAACACATCTTCGAATCGTTTCTTCTGGGGCCAAAGATATTTCAGCAGTTTATTTTTCTTTGCGGGGTTGCCGTAGTCCGCCACCTCCATGGCCTCCAGGATTAGGGCCAGACCTTTGTCCTGGATCTCCTTTGGGGAAAGATAATCCCGGACGTGAAAAAGTTTAAGAACACCTGCCAATCATTTTTTAGAATTTATCAATCGATCGATCGATTGGATGATTGATTGGATGGTTGTCTGATTGGTTGGTTGACTGATTGGATGGTTGACTGATTAAGTAGTGAGTTGTTTTCTGTATTTTTTACGTTTCAATTACAAATTAACCAAAAATTTCAATCAACAAACAAACCATGACTAACGAACCGGTCAACAGAGCAAATAACAATCTAACAACTACCTACATATTCCACCAAGCAAGCAACCAACCAATCGACCAACCAACCAACCAACCGACCGACCGACCAACCCGTGTCTGGATCTAGTTCTTGGACAGCCAGCGTCAGATACCCACACTTGTCAGATTTCTGTGACATCTCAATGTTCGTCTCGCTAAATCTCAGTAGGAAAGTCCCTGGCGGCTCATTCTCTAATTTACGTTTGGCGTCGTCTTTCGATATAAAACCGTATATATATCTGCATGTATGTATGTATGTATGTATGATGTATGTATGTATGTATGTATGTATGTATGTATGTCTGTATATATGTCTGTATGTATGTCTGTATGTATGTATGTATGTATGTATGTATGTATGTATAAATGTCTGTATGTCTGTATGTATGTATGTATGTATGTATGTATATATGTATGTATGTATGTATGTATGTATGTATGTATGTATGTATGTATGTATGTATGTATGTATGTATGTATGCTTGTGTATATACGTTTGTATATGTGTATGCAAGCTGTGCATGGTTCATTTAACTTGCATTTCTATCGCAGTAAATACTACATGACGACGAAATTGCTACATAATTAAGGTTGTCGATAAATTCATCAGTCCATATTAACTTAATGAGGGACAAATCAAAAGTATAAAACAACCTAAAGGTCACATTTCAAATGTAATAATTATTACGTTAATAATAATGATGATAATAATAATAACAATAATAATAATAATAATAATAGTAATAATAATACTGACTCCTTCATCCATTCATTCTTGACGAGTAGCTTGGAGGAGACAAGATTGAGGCAGGCGTAGATCCACATCCATATGTTGTAATCCTTCCTGTGCAGTTTATTCTGTTGTAATCATCATCATCATCATCATCATCATTATTATTATTATTATTATTGTTGTTATTATTGTTATTGCTATTATTTTTATGTTGATATTATTGTTGTTATTGCTATAATCAATAATAATAATAATAATAATAATAATAATAATAATAATAATGAACCTTAAAGATTTCTCCGTACGATATAAACCTGTCATCAAAATAATTCATCGGCAGTTGCTCAAATGCTGCTGATGATGTTGTTGTAGTAGTGGTGGTTGTGGTGGATCTCTTTGCTTCTTTGTAATCTTTGGGAAAAAATTGGCGACGATGACGATGTGATTATCACTATTATTCATTCATTTTTTTAATATTATTATAATAATTATTAACGATAATAGCAACAACATCATCCTCATTATTATCGTCATCATCATCATCATCAACAACAACAACAACACTATCGTGACGTCATCATCAAAGTCAACGTCATCATTATGACTCACTGAAGGCCATCTTGGCTAGATAGAACAGGTGATGTTCATTGAGACCCCTCTCGCTGTACTTCAAGAACAGGGAGTTCAACACGGATGCGAACTGACTCCATTTTACTTTTTCCGGCATCTCGAAGTATTTCCGGTTCTATTTCCGGGGATGATGATGTTGATGATGGCAATGATAACTGTGAAGATAATGATGATAACAATGACAATGATGATGATGATGACGGTACAGATGATGATGATGACGACGACGATGACGTAATGCTTACGTCATCAGAGAAAGCAGCGTCCCAGACAAGAGTGCCCTTGGCCATCATCTCCTGGGAGGTCTGAGAGGTGATGATGATTGGCAGGGAGACTACCTGATTGGTGATTGGTCAGTTATGGTTGGAAATTTAGTTGATTGATTGATTGAATGGTTGATTGGTGGAATAGTTGATTGATTTATTGGTTGATTGATTGGTTAGATGAGTGATTTATTAGTTGATTGATTTTTCAATCAACACAACAATCAACCGGCTAAATATCAGCCAACCAACCAATCAATCAAACAACCAACCTAATCAATCACAAAATCAATCACACAATCAACCAGACATTCAGTCAGTCAGTCATTCAGTCAGTCAATCAACCAGCCAACCAACCAAGCGGCCAACCAACCAACCAACCAACCGTAAGATGGTAGTTGACATTCTTAACGACGATGTCTGTGGTAAAGACAAAAGCGTACTTTTGGTCTGTCACCGACTCGTTCGAGCGGGAAGACTTGCTGCTGACGACGATAATAATGATGTTGTTGTTGACGATGATGATAGTGATGATGATGTTCTTGTTGACGATGATGATGTTGTTGTTGATGACGATAATAATGATGTTGTTGTTGATGACGATTATTCTTTTCGGTCCTAAGATACGTACTAATATCATTAATGTACAACTATCAATAAATAATAATGTTATTCATAGGGTTAATAACGTAAGATTTTTAGGTGTGATTATTTCTTGTAACTTATCGTGGTCACATCGTACACAATTTATATCTAAGATTACAAAAAATTTAGGATTGACCTACCGACTTAGTTCTAAATTTCCAAATTATATTTTGCTTATACTATATAATTCTATTATTTTTCCATACTTCGCCTATTGTAATTCTATTTGGGGTTATACAACTAAATCTTTTCTGCCTGTCTTAAATGTTTGTCAAAATTATTTCAAGTCTATTACATTTAATTTAAATAGATTTGAAAAATAAATATATATATATATATATTACAATGTATCTAATATCATAAAAGTTAATGATTTATATACAATGAATTCGTTTTTTTATAAATTGCATAGATCAAACCAACGTCCGTCTCTATACGCTAAGTGAATTATTTGGCCAACACTCACTCGATTGTTCTCAGAAGTTTAATTTAACTTGTTTTCGTTGGCAAGCTGTACGATTTTATTTTCATTTATGTTGTTATTTTCATGTAGGTATATGTTTTTATTTGGTTTAGGTGGCCGTACAAGCTTCTGTGTCTCCATTCTATTTGCTGAATAAAATTGAATTGAAATAAGTTTGATATTTATTTATCTAAACTACGCAGAATTTTATTTTAGAATTCCGTTCTTCCTGTCTCAATTCGGCCGTGGGATTCCTTACCTGCATACGTTAAAAATACTACTTCTCTCAGCTTGTTTAAGAGAAGTATTCTTGAAATGATTAGAACTAATTACTTTAACAAATTAATTAATTAAGCTTCTCATTACAATTCATTAGCTTCATTTTGTTCAATTTTTTTACGTCCTACCTCGGGAAACCGGATCTCTGGACGCAAAACGAAGATTGATTGATTTTTCTTCAATTTATTTATTAATTCTATGATTTAAACGTATTATTCAAGTTTATTATTATATACTTCGGTTAATCTTGGTCAGGGCGGTTCTACACGTTTTGTCTTCAGATATCCTAGTGATTTGGTTTACTAGATAAATTGATAATTTGATTTAGTAAATTTAGATTTTGTTTCTGTTATTTGAGTTTTTTTATTTAGATTTTGTTTCTGTTATTTGAGTTTATTATTTAGATTTTGTTTCTGTTATTTGAGTTTTTTTTTTTATTATCATTCGTTCTGTTCAATCGGCGTTTCGTCACGTTGGATACATCAATTTTTCCTTTCGTTCGTGTTCTTGCAATATCTTGATAGGGTGGCCCAACAAGTGAAAACCTCGGGTCTCCCTGGTAATGTATTCTACTGAAGACCGAATAAAAGATTTTTTGAATTTGAATTGAATTGAAAAAAATGGTGTTGTTGTCGTTGATGATGATGATGTAGATGATGATTACACCCAAAAAATAATAATAATAACAATAACATCACAAACAACACTAGCGACAACAACAACAAAAACAATAGAAATAATAATAAAAATGATGATGACCTTTCAAATTTTTTGAAATCTTTCAACTGTACAGCATGGAAGCTAGCCACAAAGTTGTTCGTGCCCCTGACCTCTGTGAATGACCTCTTGTGACCGTTCTCAAGTTTACACTGCGGCGATAATAATAATAATAACAATAATTGAAATAATAATAAAATTAATAATAGCAATAATAATAAGAGAGAAAGAAAATGTGTTTTGAAAGTTTTCAATGTAATTGCTATATCATTCACGATGATGTTAATGACGATGATAAAGATGATGACGACGACGACGATGATGATGTTGATGATGATGATGACTAACTTTAGTTTTCGAACTTTGTTGTTGTTGTTGTTGGATTGGCGCCGAATCAACCCCGCTACTGTTATCATGACTGCCTAGAACACTATTACTATTCTCGTAACCACTACTGCCACCGCCACTACTACTACCACCACCACTTTTCACAGTTGCAGTGGTAGTAGTAGTAGTAGTATTGACGGCAGAAGTAGAAGCAGTAACGTCGGTAAGGTCAAGTTCATTTTCGTGTTTCAGAGCTAGATATGCCGCGGGGCTGCTGTACTTGAGACCCAGGCCCAGGCCGCCTAGTAATCTGATTGGTTGGTTGAGTAATTGCTGATTGGTTGGTTGATTGGTTGTGTAATTGTTGATTTGCGTGTTATACGTTGATTGTGTGTGATATGTTGATTTATCGGTCGATAAGTTGAGTGAATTTTTTTATCGGCTGGTTGTGATGCATTGTATAATTGATCGTTATCATCATCATTATCGCCATCATCATCATTATCGCCATCATCATCATTATCGCCATCATCATCATCACAATCATCTTCACCATCTTCATCATCATCATAACTCACCTGACAGACATAGAAAAGCCACAACTCTTACCAGCGGTTACTTTCAAAACACGATCATTGATGTTCTTATCGACCACAAAAATTCTGTGATGGATTGATTGATGGATTGATTGATCGATTGATTGATTGACCTATTGAATGGTTGATTGAATGAAACTACCGGCTTTTTGATTGATTATATGATGATCAAATATCATCAATGCGAACCATCATTTATTCAATATCAAGCCAGCCATTGAAGATATCAACAAATCAACCATCCAATCAACAAACACCAATCAATCAACCAATCAATCAAACAATGAAATGAAATGATCTTTCGTTCAACAACAACTCCAAACAAATAGAAAATAATTGCAGATTAGGTTGTTTTTTTTTAAATTTACTCCAGAGTCGTGAACCAGAGCAACTAATAATATGGAAAAATAAAATGTTCTTTTTTTGCCGGTTTTAAAACAAGAGAGTTTTGTTGTGGTGTTTCTCTGGCTTTTTTGTATTTGAAGTAATCAATAAACGAATGCATGCAAAAGAAAGACATTTAGCTGTCTGAAGACGAAAATTCCCGCAAGGTAAGCATGTTGTCGCGTGAAAGAGAAGACGAGATTTGATCGTGATAAACATTTCTAGAATTTTTTGAGTGAAGGTCTGAGAGCATTTTTACTGCTCTTTTCATGAGTTGAGAAATTGTTTCAGTGTTGGATTTACACGTTAAAACCGAAGCTAAATTACGATAGTTTACGTATAGCAGACGTAATCCATTGTACAGCAACATACAACTTCTAGTGGGAAGATAAAACTTGTAATAAGCCCAGGCCTCTGGCGAACCTTGAAGCGACATTTTTTTATGTGAGGTACAAATGTTAATTTTTGATCTAGGTACATTCCTAGGAATTTGCAAACTTTAGATTCGCTATACTTAAATTTCAATCAATCAATCAATCAACCAAACAGCCAACTGACCAACCAATCGATCAATCAAGCGATAAACGTACTGTCCAACGTGATATTTCAGGAAATCATCATTAAATTTATTGAAAACGGTCAGGATGTTGTTGGCATGTTCGTTGCTTATCTTGGCATGTTCGTCGTTTATCTTTCGATTGGATAGATCGATGGAGAAGATTTGCGAATACGCATTTTCCACAGAGTTTATCCAGCTTATAATGAGCTCGTTCAGTTTGAGGAATCTGTATTAGCGTATGTTTGTATAGGCTGTGTGTGTGTATGTATTTTATTTTGTGCCTTCTTAATTTTTAAAAATGAAAACCGTTAAATTACAAATTGAGAACATAAAAATGATTTAAACGAATAGAGTCTTAGTATATGTATGCCTGTGTGCATGTATGTATGTATATATGCATGTATGTATGTATATATGCATGCATGTATGCCTGTGTGCATGTATGTATGTATGTATGTATATATGTATGCATGCATGTATGTATCTATGTGTGTATATATACAGTTTAACACAGGCCTGGCCAACAACGCGGAGTTTTCAGCCAAAAATTGTCCCTTCCAAATCCCTCACATTTGTATGCTCCCGACGTTAAACCGGATGCACAGCAAAGCAACTGACCATGCAAGAGGTCAAAGCAGGTCGCATTAAACTCTTTTCATGCCGAACAATTGAATTTTATAACTAGAGATTATTCATCAACAATTCAGCCGATAAATGCTTGCTATTATAGCAGAGCGTATTGTTTTTGTATTTTATTTTTGTATTTTCATTTTGTACTCTTTGTATTTCTTTTTGTATTTTGTTATATAACATTATGTTGTATAACTTTTTTAAATGTGTTGGCCAGGCTTGCTTTAAACTATAAATAGTAAAAATTCTCTTGGCCAATGACAAACAGCGTATCAAGGTCGTCGATATTTAGGAGGTTGCCATTGGTTACTGAGTAGATTTCCTTCTTCTGGGCTATCAGCCAATAAGAACGCTCATCCCACACGCTGCGAGATGCTAAAAATAGCTCATTAGATAGCTTTAGTATTTCTTTGGCCACTTCCTTTGGGTGGTGATGATAATGATGGTGATGTGATGATGATGATTGTGGCCATCGTCATCACCATCATCATCCTCATCGGCATTGTCACTAACTTTTCTCAGAGAATTTAAATCATATATCGATCTTAGGATTTCGATTTTTAGGCTTTCTTTAGTGCCTTTGGTACTAGTTGTTTCCTGAAGGGCACGATACTTCTCTGATGTTGATAAAGACGACGACGATGACGATGATTAAGATGATGATGGTGATGATGATGAAGATGATGGTAAAGATGATGATGATGATGATGATGAAGATGATGATGATGATGAAGATGATGGTAAAGATGATGATGAAGATGATGGTAAAGATAATGAAGATGATGGCAAAGATGATGGCAAAGATGATGATTATGATGATGATGAAAATGATGATAAAGACGACGATGATGATAAAAAAGATGATAAAGATGACGACGACGACAACGATGATGATGATAAAGATGATGATAATGATACCGAATTTGGTGTCAAAGCGTTCAATGAATACACCCTGCTCAACTATGCAGTTGTTAATCTGGAAGGTAATGGCCTGAAAAGTATCATCATAATCATCATCACAATTATCATCATCATCATCATCATCATCACAATTATCATAATCATCATCACAATTATCATCATCACCGTAATCGGCAACACAACCATCGTCGCCATCATCATCCTCATGATCATCGTCCCAATCATCACCATCACAATCATCCGTCGTCATAACCATCTTCCTCATCATCATCATCATCATCATCATCATCACCTTCATCATCATCATCATCATCATCATCACTTACTCTCTGTCGCAAGTCTAATTGATTTAAATTAAAGAGATATCTACTCATTGCCTCTTCCTTTTCATTATTATTACTATTATCATCATTATTGTTATTATTATTAATGTTGGACCTCAAGGGCTTGCGTTTCGGGTCGGAGTTCTGCTGGTGATGATAATGATGATGACCATGTTAGTAGTGGTAGTGGTAGAAATAGCAATGGATGATGATGATGATGACAATGATGATGATGTCATGGCATCACCATCATCATATGATGATGATCATATGATGAAGATGATGATGATAGTATGAGTATCATGATAACGATAATTAAACGACGACGATGATGGTGATGTTGACGACGACACAGATTTGATGATGATGATGATAAAAAAGATGATAACAACAACCACAATAACAATAATAATAATAACAATAATAATAATAATAACAATAATAATAATAACGTCTGTAATAGAGGATTCTATGATCATCTGCTCTTGTCTCAGTTTGTTGTTTATCACTTTAATGAAAGGCAAGTAGTTGTTCTGGAATTCTCTCTATTATTATTATTATTATTGTTGTTGTTGTTGTCATATTATATTATAGCAGTCAGCCAGCCAACAAACCAACCATTCAAAGACAGTCAGAGAAACCTTAATCTATTAACCATCAGCCAGCCACACAATCAATACAATCAATCCATTAGCCAACCAACCTATCAAAAAAACATCTACCCACATAGAGAAACATCAATTAACATTCAACCAACCAACCAATCAAACAGCTAACCATTCAAAGATCAACCAACCCACCAGCTAGCCAGCCAGCCAGCCAGCCAACTAACATTGAAACCACCAATCACCAATCCCCAACTAACTATCAACTGCTCTTTTGACCGCTTCAAGTCCAATATCTGATCCATCTCTGAACTGTCACACCTGTCGTCGATTAGTGAAATTAGGTGCTCAAAGTAGACTCTACCTGATTGTCCATTTGACTCTTTTTCTAAGGAGTCCCTGAATTTATACATTTTTTACACAATTATCTTCAGATTTTATTACAAGTTCTACACTTATGATACTGGCCTCAACCTGCTAAATTTGCAAATAAGAATATTTTTTATTTTTTTTTTTATTTTTATTTATTTTATTTTCAATAAGGGAACCAAATAAGTTTAAATGAAAAAACTTGTGGAGAGGCCACCCTAAGTACTTTACATGAGATATATATGCAATTTAAAACAGAACAGAAAATATACAAATTAAATTTCAATGCACGCAAAAATCGATAAATATAATCAGTAGGATTAACACTCGAAAACCAAAGTTAACATCTGAACATATAAGTATATACAGATATTACTAATGAATCTACAATCAAAAACAGAAAGTAGATTGGCAATGTGAGATAATTTATAGTATTTGATACAATAATTAAAAGTATGGATTGATTGAAGAGATGAATAAACGAGTCTAAGTGGACAGAAACATATGCTGAATTTAAAATAATTATTAGCGATGAAATGAGCCATATATAGTGTAATATATAAAAGGTTAAGATTTAGATGGTGGTGTCGGGATCAAGCAAATTTAACCGCGATCTCAGTTTAATTTTAAAATGGTACAATTCAGTGATAACCCTAATATCTGGGGGTACAAATAATTGCCAGATCTTAGGGCCCAAAATTTTAAGACTAGTTGCAACGAGCTTAAGGCGGGTTTTTGATGGATAAATAACAGACGCGTGTCTTGTGTTCAATATTTGGACGGAATTACTATAAATATAAAAGTTAGAAAAAGAGGGAGGGAGTAAGTTGTTCAGAAATTAAAGACAAAAATAGCCGTGAAGTAGATGTAAAGGCAAGGTAGTGACAAGATATTGTGCTCGACGAAAAAGGATCTCGTGTGAGAATAAGGTTTAAGATTAAATATTAGACGGATGGCTCTTTNCTGAGAAACATGCAGACAGTTAAGATGACTTTTAGGACTGTGACCCCAAAGAAGTATACAGAAGTATATATATATATATATGTCTATATGAATATATATAGACATATATATATATATATATATATATATATATATATATAGATATTTACATTCTAAAGTATAATATTTATCAAGATATCACGATATATTGATATAATTTACGATTTTAGGCTTGCATTTTTTTTTAGAAGAAATATGTATTTATTTTTATATTTTTGGTGCTGGTACGGCTCTAAGTACCTTCTATAAAAGTTAATTCACATACACAGCATATATGAAAAAATAATTAATGTAAGAAAGAAAGGAATGAATTAATAAAAATGAAAAATAAATATGAAAAACAAATAAAGGATGAATAATAACAAAAGAAAAATTACAATAAAAAAGACCATTCTACTAACTTACAAACTAGTTAACTAACTGACTAACTAACTAACCAATCAACACTTTCGATCCAGGCGGCAAAAGTACTTCTAATTTTGTGCGGGAAGTTATCAGTCGAATATAATTGTTGCAAACGCTCTCCCTTCTTTTTATCTTTCTTACAAATGTCACTCAGCATCTTCCATTGGGCCATTTTTCTTAATTTTATTTATTATTTTTGACAATTATTAATGTAGTTGGCTAATTAATTTTCTTCTTTGTTGTAATTTGTTGTGGGATTCTGGTTTTAACAATTACTTATTCCTAATTTTAATAATTTTTTGATAGGAGAATTTCAAGATATTAATATTTTTGTCTGAGTTTTTTTAAATAATTATTAATTAAATAATTTTTAATTAAATCATTCAAGTGGAGTTGCCATTTCCTTTCATTCAGTTTCAGACTTTCAGAAGATTTCAAATCATAATGATTTAATTAATTAAATATTTAATAATTAAATTAAATTAATTTATCATTTATTTGTTTATCCACAATATAAATAAATATAAAATAAATGTTAGCATAGTTTATTTTTTATCACATATCGTGAAATCACTGCCATTGATTAGTCGATCGGATCCTGGTGGGTTAGTTTCTATTTTTAGAGTAGCAATTCACTAACTAATTTAATTATATTTTAATTTTATTAATGGAAGGAATGAATGACAATTTGAATCATGCCTAAATTTAAATATTTAAAATAAACAAAAAATTCGTAATGCTTTACTTATTAAATTATTTATAATGTAAACCGGACCCTAAAGTGTGAATTTTGTAGGTAAAATCTAAAATATTTCCCCAAAAATAAAACATTAAAAAACCGAAACTAAAAAAATACACTTGGCTGTGTATATCTAACCGTTTATTTAAATACTATTTCGGTACTAAAAATATTTCGTCCTATAATATACGGCACAGTATTTTCAAAAAAAAATGAATTACCCTTAAAACTGAAAACTATTTGATAATAAAAACACAATTTCGGGTACAAAAATATAAGGATTTTAACTATTAATGGCAAATATGTGATATAAATAATGATTTTCCACGATAAAACGATGAAAATCGTTGTTAGAATTTCAGTAAATCTCATGAAAACTGCCGAAGGAATCAATAAGAAAAATCAATGAGAAATTCTTCTCTATTGGTAACAGTTGGCTTAAGAACAGTAACAACAATAACAATAATATAAATAAAACTAATTGTCATTATTACAATTAATTATTATTATTATTGTTGCTGTTATAACAAAACCTAGAAATTAATAAAAACAGTACACATCATCATTTCTGAGCCAGTCAAATTGCGGTAGGCAGGCTTCTCAGGTAAAGTAGTAGATTACCACGATGATTTATCTGTTAGGAAAATTAAATAAATACACAATAATGATAGCTCTAATAGCTAATTCGACTGAATTTTCTCGATTTAGTAATTATTTGATAATAAATAAATAATTCAATCATTTTATTTGACAACTGTTTGGCTATTTAAAAATTAATAAATAAATGGATGTCGACGTGTTTCAGCTCCAACTGTGGGAATGGGACGACGAGGTAAATAATATTAATAATAAAAATAATATATTTATGGTTATATGTTGTTTTCAATGTTGTTGTTGTTGTTGTCGCTGATATTATTGTCATTGACGTTGTTGCTTCTATTGCTCTTATTATTTAGAGTTCTTCTTCTTCTTCTTATTATTATTATTTATTATTATTTAGTATTATTATTATTGTTGTTGTTTGTTGATATGTTCTCAATTTCTCAATTAAAACGTTTAAATATTATTTTTTTTGTAACACCCAGTTTCTAACAGCCAATGAGGGCAGAGAATTTAAAAATGCTGACTGCTGGTTGGACGATATGCTAGATGACCTTTATCCTTATGTAGACTTCTCGTCCAATGAGAGCTCGCCTTCCACGGGAGGTCTCGACTCGCCAGCAAATGGGAGTATAGATTGCAATCAACTACTTAGAAACAGTACGTAATGCTGATTTTTATGATTTTTATGATTATTATTATTATCATTACTTTTATAATTACTAATTATTATTACATGTTATTATTATTATTATTATTATTATTATTATTATTATTATTAGTCTAATTATTATCGTTATAATTATCTTTAGTCATTATCTAGATCACTGTCCATCATCAGGTATAGACACTAGTTTCAGTGTCAACACGTTATGATTTATTAACATCGTCATTATCGTCGTCGTCATCATCATTATAGTAATTGTAGTAGGTAATAGTATAGTAACTGTGAATGATAGCAGGTTACAATAGTTTTTGTTGTTGATGTTGTTGTTGTTGGTAATGTTGTTGTTGTTGGTAATGTTGATGATGATGTTGATGTTGATGTTGTTGTTGATGTTGTTGTTGATGATGTTGTTGTTGTTGTTATTGATGTTGTTGTTGATGTTGTTGTTTTGTTGTTGTTGTTGTTGATGATGTTGTTATTGATGTTGTTATTGTTGTTGTTGTTGTTGTTGATGGTAATGTTGATGATGATGTTGATGATGTTGATGTTGTTGTTGTTGTTGTTGATGTTGCTGCTGTTGTTGATGATGTTGTTGTTGTTGTTATTGATGTTGTTGTTGATGTTGTTGTTGATGTTTTTGTTGTG